CTGGAACTACAGATGTGCGCTACCATGCCTGGCTAATTTTTGATTTTATTGTAGAGACAAGGTCTTGCCAAGTTGCCTGGGCTGATCTCGAATCTGCAGGCTCAGACAATCCACTCGCCTTGGCCTCCCAAAGTGCTGGGATTATAGGCTAGGTCACCAAGCCTGGCCTAAAAGTAGTTTTTAAAACATTTCTACTCATAATTCTTTTAAAAATACAACATAAGGCTGGGCACAATGGCTCAAGCCTGTAATCCCAGCACTTTGGGAGGTCGAGGTACGGGGATTGACCTGAGCCCACAGGTTCAAGAACAGCCTGGGCAACTTGGCAAGACCTTTTCTCTACAATAAATCAAAAAATTAGCTGGGCATGGTAGCGCGTGCCTGTAATTCTGGCTACTTGAAAGGCTGAGGGGGAAGGATCACCTGAGCCCAGCAGGTCGATGCTGGGGTGGCCCTGAGCATGCCACTACATTCTAGCCTGGGTGATGGAGTGAGACTCCAACTCAAATAAATATATATATATATAGAGAGAGAGAGAGGAAATAGGACTTTTGAAAGAATTATTTGCAGTCACCAGGTTAACAATTTATTTCATTTTTTAAAAAGTTTTATTTTAAAGATGTAGGGTACAGTTCAGTATTGGGTATGCATGTGTTCATCGTAGAGGTAATGTTTGGGTCTCCCTTTGGTCCTCACTTTGCCTGATTTGAGATCAGGTACCCTTACTGATGTTATGTATCCCATCCCCTCCCCCGCAATTTCCTGCTATTGCCAATCCCTTTCTTATAGTATGGTAATGTTCAGGGTCCACTTATGAGTGAGAATATGTGATACTCAGTTCTTTGTTTCTGTGATAGATCACTGAGTATTGCATGTTTATTGTAACACTATTTGCGGTAGCAAAAACATGAGACCAACCATGCTGCCCGGTGAAACTAGACTGGATTTTAAAAATGTGGTACATACACATGATGGAATATTATGCAGCCATAAAGAAGGACAAAGTTATGGACTTCACAGCAACTTGGATGGTTTTGCCTTTTCAAAGAAAAAAAGGAAAATACATTTTGAAAATTTTGAAAATACAACTTTGGGCCGGGCTCGGTGGCTCAGCCTGTGTTCCCAGCACTTTGGGAGGCCGAGACAAGTGGATTGCCTGAGCCTGCGGATTCGAGACCAGCCTGGGCAACTTGGCGAGACCTTGTCTCTGCAATAAATCAAAAATTAGCAGGGCATGGAAGGCTGAGGCGGAAAGATCACTAGAACCTGGCAGGTCAACGCTGGGGTGGCTGTGAGCATGCCACCACACTCCAGCCTGGATGATGGAGTGAGATTCCAACTCAACAAAAAAAACCCCAAACAAAGCAATTATGCCATGTTAGATTTGCCCGAAATGTAAAAATAATCTGGGTAACAGGGATCCTGAGACCAAACAGGTTTATTTTTATTTTATTTTATTTTTGAGTTGGAGTGTTACTCTGTCACCCTGACTGTCATGCAGTGGCTGCTCCCGGCCACCGCAGCCTCGACCTGCTGGGCTCCGGCGATCCTTCCACTTCAACCTTCCAAGTAGCTGGAACTACAGGTGCGTGCTACCATGCCTGGCTAATTTTTGATTTATTGTAGAGATGAGGTCTCACCAAGTTGCCCAGGCAGGTCTCGAACCCGCGGACTCAGGCAATCCACTCAGCTCAGCCTCCCAAGGCGCGGGATTACAGACTGAGCCACCGAGCCTGGCTCAAACAGGTTTATTAAGAAGTTTGGCCAATCATTAATAAAACAAAAACAACAGATGCTAGTGAGGATGCAGAGAAGGGAGAATGCTTCTACACTGTTGGTGGGAATGCAAACTAGTTCAACATCTATGGAAAAGTGTGGTGATTCCTAAAAGAACTAGAAATTGACCTTCCGTATAGTGTGGCAATCCCTCTTCTGGGAATATACCTGGAGGAACTAAGTCGCTCTACAAAAAAGATACCTAGACACACATGTTTATTGTAGCAGTATTTACAATAGCGAGAATATGGACCCAACTGTGCTACCCATCAAAACTGAACTGTATAAGGAAATGTGGCACATATATACAATGGAATACTATGCAGCCATAAAGAAGGATAAAATTATGGACTTTGCAGCAACTTGGATGGAGTTAGAGTCTAATACTCAGTGATTTATCTCAGAAACAAAGAACTGAGTACTACATATTCTCATAAGCAGACCCTGAACATTTACCATAATACTACAAGAAAGGGATTGGCAGTAACCAGAAACTACCAGGGGAGGGGAGAGGTACATAACATCAATAAGGGTATCTAATCTCAACCAGGTGAAGTGGGGACCAAAGGGAGGTCCAAACTACACAGTTATGCAGGTGGTAGGCATATATGTATTTCTAATAAAGTACATTGACTCACCTCAGGCTTAACAAGTAAGTGATATTTGCAGGTTGTTTTTAGAAGAAATGTGTTTTTCACCATTTTTCTTTATTATAGCTAGTGGTCAGAAGTTATACGTAAGGCTCTTTCAACGTAAATTAAGCTGGATCAAGATGAATAAATTGGAATATGAAGAGATTGCCTCAGACTTAACACCTGTAATCGAAGAATTGAAGCATGCAGGCTTTCTACAGACAGGTATGACTAAGTAGAAGGAAATGTGAAATGTGAATAGGATCTTAAGAATTAGGTTTCTGTGGATAACTTAATGGTGGTAATATTAGTGTGGTGTCTTCTCCTGGTTAATGCCTAGTAACCAGCAATTTTTTTTTTTGGAGGAGTTTCACTCCATTTCCCAGCCTGGAGTGCAGTGGCACACTCATAGCCACACCAGCGTCGACCTGCTGGGCTCAGGTGATCCTTCTGCCTCAGCCTTCCAAGTAGCTAAAACTATAGGTGCACACTACTGGACCTGGCTGATTTTTTATTTATTGTAGAGATGAGGTCCCACTAAGTTGCCCATGCTGGTCTTGAACCCATAGGCTCAGGCAATGCACTCACCTTGGCCTCCTAGAGTGCTGAGATTACAGGCTGAGCCTGGTCTGTTTATTTTTTTAAGTTGAGTTTTAAATCTCAATTTCAGATTATTCATGAGATGCTAATGCCATCCTTAGCCTGAATGAAGAATACTAGAGTGATGGGGGATTGTCTGCTGCTATTTGCTTGCCTGTCACAGGCTTTGGACCAGCATCACCTCAGGACAGACATGTGGGCATCTGCCACAGAGAAAATGCATCCCTCCCGGGTGCTCTCCTTCCAGCAAAAACTTGACTGATCTTATTCTGAGTCCTCATCTTTATGATAGGATAAAGCTGGTTTGCTTGAAACCAGTATTGCCTCTAAAAACCTTATCTGCCTCCACCTGTACACACACACAACTCTCAGATTATAAATTGGTTGCTTGAAGAATTGTCGGATTGTTTTAAGCCTGTGTGGACACAGATGGAGAGTCTGTCCTCTGCAGTGATACCCTTGTTTTCTTGTCAGTAGCCTTCACTAAGTACCTACCCGGGTATTGAGAAGGACAGCTGAGCTTTGGTTTCAAGTTGTTGCCATTGTAGACTAAAATAAGCAAATCAGGCTAGATGTTTTCTCTGGGCCAGAGTGTGTAGTGGGAGCAGTAAGTAGGATAAAGCTAGAGTGTTGGGTGGGGGTGGATGGGATGAGATGGGGGAAGTGGTAAGGCAGTGGACAAGGGCCCTCCGCAGAGCGGTGCTTCCCGGTTGTCATGCCAGCAGGGTCACCTGGGAGCCTGATTCTGTCCTTACCTGACTCAGAAGATCTGGGTCAGATTTCATTAGTTGACAGGTTTGATGGGCATGCCAGATGACTGCTGCAGGTGAGCCTGGCTTACCTTTAAATGGCCTGGAAGCAACACACCCAGGACCCTAGTGGCTCATGGTGGCACGGTCAAGTCTAAGTCCTACCTCTATGCTCCATAAAGCCTCTTGGGTCCTGTCTCTGGCTGCTCCTGACCTCATCTTCTGACTGTCTCTTGCTCCCCCTGCCGTGCCCACATAGCCCTCCATGTTTTTCACCATGCTGCCTGCATTCCTTCTCCAGAGCCTTAGACTCATGTGGGACAGCTTCTACCACCTGGCTACACAGCTTGTCCCGCATTTCATTCACCTCTGCTCTGCATCACCATATCAGAGGTTTGCCTGACCACCCTGGGTGAAATATAGCCAACCTTCCTGCCAGGTTCCGTATGCCTCACCCAGTCATGCTTTTCTTTATAGCAGTTATCAATACCACCAGACTCATATACTCACTTCTTTCTTTTTTTTTTTTTGAGTTGGAGTCTCACTTTGTCACCCAGACTGGAGTGCAGTGGCCGCTCCCGGCCACTGCAGCCTCAACTTGCTGGGCTCCGGCGATCCTTCCGCCTCAACCTTCCAAGTAGTTGGAACTACAGGCGCGTGCTACCACGCCTGGCTAATTTTTGATTTATTGTAGAGATGAGGTCTCGCCAAGTTGCCCAGGCGGGGCTCGAACCCGCAGGCTCAGGCAATCCACTCACCTCAGCCTCCCAAAGGCGCGGGATTACAGGCTGGGCCACTGAGCCTGGCTCACTTATTTCTTATGCTAGGAGGTAAGCTCCTGTGGTTGGGGACATGGTTCACTGTAGTGTGCCCAGGGCCTTACAGTGTTTCTAGGCATGCAGGGCATACCCAGTAAGTTTTTTTTGAAGGGAGGAAGAAGGTACTGCCCTAAACTGTGGATGCCTTCAAGGCGAAGGCCAGCCAGGTCGGAGGCAAATTCCCAAGCTTAGTGTGGTGACGGGGCCCACAGTAGCAGGGCATGTTCATGAATGCTGGGAGAGCAGGGTGAGGCCTGTGGGAAGAGGAGGACTGATGGTCAGTTTACCATGTGATGTGACTTGAAGGTCCCATTGGAGGCTTTGTGACCACAGACAGGGAATATGTTTCCAGCAAGCTTGTAAGCAGGGTATCCTAGCTGTAATGGCTGTTGAAGTATGTTTTTGTTTTAGCAACATCTTTCTTTACTTTTTGTGAGAGTTTCTGTCTTTTATAACTTTTAAGAGATCTGTTTTCTACATTCCTTAATGATTGGCTTGGCAAACTAATGAACATTTCTATAGTAGAGCTTTATTTCATTTGCATCTAACTAAAGCAAATAAAACCGGAAAATAGTAAAATTCTTTAAAACTATTTTAACTTAAAAAAATCATTTCAGAATCTGAGTTGCAAGAACTCTCTGAAGTACTTGAACTCCTCTCTGCTCCTGAACTAAAAACCCTGGCCAAGACCTTCCACTTGGTGAATCCCAATGGACAGAAACAGCAGCTGATGGACGCCTTCCTCAAACTGGCCAGACAGCGCTCGGTCTGCACATGGGGCAGGAGTCAACCTGCAGTCAGTGCCGTGATTTTAAAAAGGTTTTGTTGGCTTTTAATATAGTAAACACATTGAAAATGCTGATAGCGCATATTAGTTAGTTTATGATAACTGATAGTACACTTTTTTGAATTATAGTTGTTTATTTCAGTTGCAGTTGGATTGAAAAGGAATCCAACTGGAAAAGCCTTAGTTGTAATAGACTGGATTCTTTCTTGGCTTTTACTCAAAATTCTTGGTGTAATACCATACTAATTTCCAGGACCAAAAAATCAGAAGACAGTGGGCCATTGGTAAATCCTAGAATTTTACTGTCTAAGAAAAGTATACTTTTAGCTATAGTTCTTACAGGATTTTAGGGTAAACTATTCAGTCAGATTTTTATTTTAGTAAACTTTTTGTCTACTAAACAAAGTGTAATCAGGCAGTCTTAGTATGCAATTTTAAAATTTACTGTAAAATTTACAAGCTGGTCTTGAACCCCTGGGTTTAGGTAGTCCTCTCATTTTGGCTTCCCAAAGTACTGGGATTACAGACATGAGCCACCATGTCTGGCTTAGTTGTATTTCTTAAGTATTTGATGTTATCCCTGTATGTCACATTTTATAGGTAAGTAAACATTCAAATTAGCAGCCCTCTCTTGGTATATGCATTCAGCATAGAATAGATATATTAAATTTTAAAAAAGAATTTTGCCACTGACTTTGGACTTACAGGAAATGAAATTGTCCAGGCTGTTTTTGGTTTTTTGTTTGTTTGTTTTTTGTTGAGACGAGGTCTTGCCAAGTCACCATGGGCTCAGGCAATCTACTCGCCTCGGCCTCCCAAAGTGCTGGCATCACAGGCTGACCCACGGATCCTGGCTGGGTTCTCAGTTTAATGGTGGGATGATAGAAATCCCATCCCATCCCCTCATTTCTGTGATGATGACACTCATCTCTTCTATGCCTCCAGGGATGCCGTGCTGCCTTTGGTTTAATAACTTCTGCACTAGGACCGTGTGAGGTCTCTACTAGGCCAGTGGGTCCCAACCGGGGGCATTCGGCATCGTCTGGAGATATTTTTGGTTGTCACCATTGGGGGTGGTGATGCTAATGGCATCTAGTAAGTGGAGACTAGGGACATTGCTGATAATCCTATAATGTACAGGGCAGCCCCCCACAACAAAGAATTATCCAGCCTAAGTGTTAATAGTACTGAGGTCGAGGGACCATCTACACATGGTATCTAAGACACTAGAATTCAGAGGGCTCATGTGGTCCTGAATTTAATTCAGACCTTGAAGCCCACCTTGCGGACATCCAGAATTGAGTTAATTCTAAGGTTACCTTGGACTGGAGATGGGCCTAGACCATTTTGTACATTAGACAATAGCATTGAACATTGGTGTATACATGGGCCACTTCCTGGAACACAAATTCTGATGCTTTATCAAGAGTCTTTCATAATGACATTTTAAATAATTACCTAGTATTTAATCTAGATCATCACTGGAATCAAGACTTGAGAATTGCTAATGTTGAATAGAAAATACTTTTATGAAAGTTTTCCTGTATTTGAAGTGCTCACGACCAGGGTAAACCCCATCCTACTCTGTGGCCAGGAAAGGAAGCAATTTATTAAGCCAGACCATGTGTGGAGCCATTTGGAGATTTAAATTCATTCAATCCTCTGTATCCCCAGGTGGGCTCAGCCCCAGAGCAGTTAAGTAATGCTCCAGTGTTTAGAATAGTGAGTGCCACTTCTCTTTATTTTAGTTTAAAATAATTGGTGAAATCTGACATTCAAATGCGTATAAAACCAAAAGGCATTTCTATACTGTATATTTTTTCAGAGCAAAAACCTTGGCTGGACAGTCACTAAGAGTCTGTAAAGGTCCCAGGGCTGTGTTTTCCCGGATCTTGCTTCTGTTTTCATTGACTGACTCTACGGAAGATGAAGACGCGGCTTGTGGGGGTCAGGGGCAGCTTTCCACAGTCCTTTTGGTCAACCTCGGCCGAATGGAGTTTCCGAGTTACACAGTCCATCGGAAAACCCAAATCTTTCAAGACAGAGAAGATCTTATCAGGTAAGGTGACATTAGCTTACTATAATATCTGTGTATTTTATCATTTAGTATTATAAAAAGTTTTATTATTTTTTTGCCAGCCAAAGGAGGAGCATTAAGTCCACAACCAAAACGGTTTTTGTTTATTTTTTATCTTTTTTACCTCACTTATATATGTTTCTAAGACTATAGGAAGAATATAGAAATGAACTTAGATTAAGACTGTCAAAAAATAAGGAGTTTTGAGTTAGAACTATAAGAATTTTCCCCGGCTTATGTTTTCAAATAGCTTTGACAGGGGTATTTTTTTTAATGCAGACATTTTAACAAACCTGCCATAGGAATATGTTGTTGACCTGAACAAGACTGAAGATGAATGTTTTCCTGTAAAAACTCCTCAGATAAAGCTACTAATAACTTGTATACTGTATATTAGATCGTGTCCATGATAAATTAGAAATTTTCACTAATTTATATTGGTACATGGACTTAATGAACATTTGATTTGACCAACAAAAGTTGGTGGGTTTTTGTTTTTTTTTTTGAGTTGGAGTCTCACTCTGTCGCCCAGACTGGAGTGCAGTGGCCACTCCCGGCCGCCGCAGCCTTGATCTGCTGGGCTCTAGCGATCCTTCTGCCTCAGCCTTCCGAGTAGCCAGAACTACAGGCGCGCGCTACCACACCTGGCTAATTTTTTTTTTTTTTATTTATTGTGGAGATGAGATCTCGCCAAGTAGCCCAGGCGGGTCTCGAACCAGCGGGCTCAGGCAATTCACTCACCTCAGCCTCCCAAGGCGCGGGATTACAGGCTGAGCCACCGAGCCCGTCTCAAAAGTTGTTTTTGAACTAAAAATAGAACTGCCATCTGAGCCAGCAATCCCACTTCTGAGTATTTACCTGGAAGAATGAAAAGCAGGGACTCAAAGAGATATTTGCACACCCATGTTCATAGCTGCATTATTCACAATAGCCAAGTGATGGAAGCAACCCAAGTGCCCTCAACAGATGAATGGATAGAAAAAAGTGATACGTATACACACACACGTGCCTGTGCAATGGAATCCTTTTCAGTCATAAAAATGATAGAAATTCTGTCATTGTAGTGGCAACATGGATGAACTTGGAGAACTTTTTTTTTTTTTTTTTTTTGAGTTGGAGTCTCACTCTGTCGCCCAGGCTGGACTGCAGTGGCACCTTCACAGCCACCACAGCCTTGACATATTGGGCTTCAGGCAATCCTTTCGCTTCAGCCTTCCAAGTAGCTGGGACTACAGGCATGCGCTACCATGCCCGGCTAATTTTTTAAATTATTGTAGAGATGAGGTCTCGCCAAGTTACCCAGGCTGGTCTCGAACCCCTGGGCTCAGGCAGTCTTCTTGCTCGGCCTCCCAAAGTGCTGAGATTACAGACTTGAGCCACCGCACCCAGCAGGAAAACTTTAAGTGAAATAAGCCAGCCACGGAAAGACAAATGCTATGTGTTTTCACTCATATGTGGGGGCTTACAGAGTTGATCTTATAGACATAGAGAGTAGAATAATGGTTAATAGAGGCTGGGAAGGCTAGGGGAGATAGGGGAATATTGGTTAACAGACACAAAAGTGCACCTAGATAAAAGGAATGGGTTCTAGCATTCCCTGGCACTATAGGATGACTGTAATGAACAATTATTGTGTATTTTCGAATAGTTAGAAGAGTGGATTTGGAATGTTCCCAACACAAAGGTATGATAATGTTTGAGGTGATGCTGGGCATGGTACTTGTAGTCCCAGCTACTTGGAAGGCTGGGGTAGGAGGATCACTTAAGCCCAGAAGTTTGAGACTAGCATGAGTAACAGTGAGATTTCATCTCTAAAAAATGTTTTTAAAGTTTGAAGTGATAGATGTGCCAATTACTGTGATTTGATCATTACACATTGTATATGTGCATCTAAATATCACATTATACCCCATAAATATGTGCAATCACTGTGTCAATTAAAAATAATAATAAAGGGTACCTTCACAATGAATATATGTATACCTAACCCTTAACTGTACCCCACAAGTTTAAAAAAAATTAAAAAAAAAGAAAAGAACAGATCAACAAATAATAATAATAATAGAAGCAAAACAAGCAAATAATAGGATTACAGTATTAAAAAGTAGGTTTTGATAAGAAAGAATAGTGTAGATCTCACAGAAAAAAATACATAGATTTTCTAAAAATAGAAAAACACCTTTTATAAGAAAAAATTAATTTGTATTTCCTAAAATGTCGCTTTTGATTCTTGATCTGAGATTTCTGACTCTTTTAACTAAAATTCTTTCTGATATTTGCTTTCAGGAAAGTCCTTTAAGTGTTTCTAAAAAAGCCATGTGCTTTTATTTTATTTTATTTTATTTTATTTTGAGTTGGAGTCTCACTCTGTCACCCAGACTGGAGTGCAGTGGCCGCTCCTAGCCACTGCAGCCTTGACCTGCTGGGCTCTGCTGATCCTTCCGCCTCAGCCTTCCAAGTAGCTGGAATTACAGGCGCGCGCTACCACGCCTGGCTAATTTTTTTGATTTATTGTAGAGATGAGGTCTCACCAAGTTGCCCAGGCGGGTCTTGAACCTGCAGGCTCAGGCAATTCACTCACCTCGGCCTGCCAAAGCACGGGATTACAGGCTGAGCCACCTAGCCCGGCCGCCATGTGCTTTTAAAAGTAAATTATTGAGATTATTAAATCAAAACATTATCACTGTAAACTGATTTTAGCTCATTTTCCCTTTTGCTGTCAGGAAGCTCAAGAATTTTCCCTGGCTTATGATTCCAATAGCTTTGGAAACATAGCTCAATACCCTATTTGTGTCCAATTGGAATAACTTTTTTAGTCAAATCTTCTAATGTGACTATTTTCTCTTACTCTGTTTTCAGTTGCCTAATATCTTTTTAGTGGCTTTAGTGGCTTCATGTTTTTCTAGTTTGTGAGAATGTATATCTTGAAGCCAAGTTACAGTCTCTCTATAAGGAACTGTGAAGCAACCACGAGCCTTAGTTTCCTCATCTGTGAAATGGGGAGATTAATAGTATATTCTTAACTGGGCTCGGTGGCTCAGCCTATAATCCCACGCCTTTGGGAGGCTGAGGTGAGTGGATTGCCTGAGACTGTGGGTTCGAGACCCGCCTGGGCAACTTGGTGAGACTTCATCTCTACAATAAATCAAAATGAGCTAGGCATGGTAGCATGCGCCTGTAGTTCCAGCTACTCGGAAGGCTGAGGCAGAAGGATCGCCGGAGCCTAGCAGGTTGAGGCTGGGTGACAGAGTGAGACTCCAACTCAAAAAAACAAAAACAAAAAAACAATAGTATATTCTTTTTTTTTAATCAATATTTTTTATTATGACAACATTGTGGGGTACAGTTAAGGGTTAGGTATACAAATATGTTTCATTCAGGCACCCTGTTGATAAGAAGTGTTTCCCCGTCCCCAGACAGATATTTGCTACCGTTAATCCCATCTCTCCCCCCCCCATAGTTTCCCACTACTGTCAGTCATTTTCTTATAGTATTACATTGGATGTTCAAGGTCCATTATATGAGTGAGAATATGTGATAACTCGGATCACTCCATATGCGCCAACACATATCCTTAAGACTATACTGTTGCTGCGTAATAAATCAAAAACTAGCTGGACGTGGTAGCACGCACCTGTAATTCTGGCTACTTGAAAGGCTGAGGCGGAAGGATCGCTGGAGCCCAGCAGGTCGAGGCTGCAGTGACCAGGAATGTGCCACTGCAATCCAGATACACGATGGAATACTACGCAGCAATAGTATATTCTTAAGGATATGTGTTGGCGCACATGGCGTGTTAGAGTCTGGGCTATGAGGGGTATCTAGCATGTGTTAATTACTACTATAATTGTCATTACTGTTATATCTAAGGGGGACTACTTTTTAGTTCTGTGATTAGCAAAACCGTTGTTGACAAGTTCAAAGGTGGAGGGGCTAGGGAGAAAACCTCCCATATTATTGTAAGTAATAAAAATAAATGAACCCTCCCTTTGTTATGTAAGGGCCTTAGCATGTAAGTAAAATTGGATTTCACTAACTTCTGGAAGTGTATTATTCATATATGTGGCAATACGAGATCTGTCCCGAGAACCCATTTTGTCCACCGATGTACTTGAGATGATTTCTTTTTTCCTTTGTTTTCTCTAACTCATTCAGTAAAAATGAGTTGAGTGTTGAGTACCTATTATGTGCGTAGGTAGTGGCTGGCGGTTGCAGCAGCGAACAGGATAGAGTATCTTCCGTCATGGGGTTACGTTTTACTAGAGAAATTAGAGTGTGTGTAAAGTGCCGTGATAATTGTGGAGCAGGCTGGAGAAGTTCTTTCTAGACAGAGTATTGGAGAGAGGGGTCCTGGAGAGGTGACATTTGAATGGGACTTGGGAACGAGAAGGTGGCAGCCATGCTGGTCCTGTGTCCAGGCAGCGGGTGAGTGGGTGCCCAGGCTTGGAGGCGGGAACGAGCCTGCTGAGTTGGAGGAGCTGAGTTGCGGGGCAGCAGTGCAAGGGCAAGTTGGCAGGACTACAGGGTTGGGGTACGCACAGCCTTCAGGGCCCTGCTGGGAGATTGGAGGGAGGCAAGTGATCTGCTGCATGATTTTACAGAAGCACCCAGTGGACAGGGGCTGGAGGGTTGTAGAGAAAGACACAGGAAGGCTGATTTGACTTGGGTGGAGGTCTAGGTGGGAGATGCTTGGAGTGGTCTGGACTGGGTTGGTGATGGTGAAGAGAAGTAATGTGCAGGAGATCGTTTGGAAGCAGTAAAGACAAGACTTGATCCCACTCAGATGTAGAGGAGAAGGAAAGGGGTGGATCAAGGGTAGCTCTGTGCTTTGCCTTGGGTGGTGCCATCCCGTGAGGGACACAGGGGTAGAAATGGGATATTTCTAGGGATGCTGCTGCTGATGTCACTGTGTGGGGTGCCTTTGAGCTGCCTGCTCGAAGCTGCCATGTGTGACACTGGACTCACATCGGGGTCTCAGGGAATAGGTTCAGCCTGCAGAGAGACTGTTAGGAGTCACTGGCATATGGAACTGAATGAGCAGCATATTTAAAAGAATTAGATCTGAGAATTTGTAAGCAAATTTTTACATTTGGAGACTTTTTTTTGCTATTACTTTACAATGTTTGTACGTACTGATGTTGCACGCTTTTCTTTTAGATATGAGTCCAACATACAGTGAACATGTTAGAGAATCCGTTGGTCAGATGTCTTTGTTTTTGGTATCTAAGGAAGCAGTGAGAATTCTTCCTTCTTCAGCTAAGTGGTGTCATAACATTTCAGCATTGTTATCTTCCTAAAAGTGTCCTTGAAATTATTTTTGAAATATCCCAAGCAATTTTCTTGGCTTGGGCAGCATCTCTCTGGCTACCTCTGACTATAAATCATTAGGTGATCAAATCCACATCTTACTGTAATTCTGAAGACAGCTACAAGTTAACATGGTTCCTGCCAGATTGTTGAATGAATGAGTACCAAAAATCAGGAATGAGCAAATCATTATCACATTTATATAATGAAACTAATACAGTATAATAACTATTTTTTTTTAAGTTGGGTTCTCACAGTGTTGCCCAGGCTGAAGTGTAGTGGCACTATCACAGCTTACCACAGCCTTGACCTTGTGGGTTCAGGTGATCCTTCTGCCTCAGCCTCCTGAGTACTTGGGACTACAGGGGCATGCCACCATGCCCAGTTTATTTTTTAATAATTTTTTTGTGGAGATAGCATCTCACTGTGTTGTCCAGGCTGGTCTCAAACCCCTGAGCTCAAGTGATCCTCCTGCCTTGGCCTGCCAAAGTGCTGGGATTACAGGCATAAGCCACTGTGCCTGGCTCTGTTCTTATCTTTCTAGGTAGGCAGCCTGCATCAATTCTTCTGAGCCACTCCAGTGGGGTAGTTATGTTATTACTAGAATAAAATTTAAATAACCCTCATGTTTTCAAAAAACGCACTTTTACCCTTCAGAATTAGATTCAGTGGCTAAGGTGGTAATTTTATGGAAACACTCATTCGTATTTGAAACTTGGATGGCATTTTCCCTCAGATATGCAGCAGCCATGCACATGCTCAGTGACATTTCTACTGCAATTGCCAATGGGAACTGGGAAGAAGCCAAGGAGCTCTCTCAGTGTGCAAAGAGAGACTGGAACAAACTGAAGAACCACCCTTCTCTGAGGTGAGGCTTTTTTTAGATACCTGCCACAATTTATGTATGGACCAACTTGTTCCAACCACTTAAAATAATTTTCTGTTTGAAGGATATAGTCCTTGGTGGCTAAACCAGCTACAGGATTGATTTTCATTATTTACTTTGCAGAGAGTCAAAGTGCTGTGTGAAATAGAAGGAAATATCTGAAAGTTTAAGGTGATTTTATACAGCTCAGATTCCTGTGCAACATACATACAAGGGAACAAATACTGTAATTGGCAGTGGCTTGCTGTCTTTTGGTGTGTGGCTTCTGGTTGCTGGTGAGCTGAATTTAAATGTGTGGGGACCAGCAGTGGGACAGATGTGGGAAGCATACCAGGTGTGTTCTTCTAATGGAAACTCAAGTGGGTGTTATTTTGAAAAAGATGGTTCAAGTGAACTTTCACTTTAAAAGTTCCATATATGCAGCACATGACCTTTTATTGTTTTGTTTGAAAATGTTAAACATCTTCCATATTGTTAAGACATTTTTTTCTTTTGTTACATAGTGATGATGAAAATTAGTACCATTAAATGCTTTCTTCTTTTTGTTTTTCTTTTTTTGAGTGGGGGTCTCTTTCTGTTGCCCAGGCTGGAGTGCAGTGCATGATCATGACTCACCATGGCCTTGACCCCCTAGGCTCAGGCAGACTTTCTGCCTCAGCTTCCCGAATATCTGGGACTACAGGCATGCACCACTATTTCCAGCTAATTTTTAAAACTTTTTTTGTAGAGGCGAGCTCTCTAGAAATTTTGCCCAGGCTGGTCTTGAACTCCTGGGCTCAAGCAGTCCTCCTACCTTGGGCTTCCAAAGTGTTAGGATTACAGGTGTGAGCCATTGTATCCAGCCTACAAAATGCCTTTTTAAAAAAAAATTTTAGATATACAGTTGACCCTCAAACAACATGGAGATTGAGGTGCTGACCTCTCAAACAGTTGAGAATCCATGTATAAATTTTGACTTCCCCCAAAACTTAGGGGAAACTTAACTACTAATAGCCTACTATCAAATGGAAACCTTACTGATAACATAAACAGTCAATTACCACATATTTTGTCTGCTATGTATTGTATACTGTATTCTTACAAAAAAGTAAATACATCTATTTATTAAGTGGAAGTGGATCATCATAAGGGTCTTCATCCTTGTTGTCTTCACGATGAGAAATGTGAGGAGGAGACGAAAGAGGAGGGGTTGGTCTTGCAGTCTTAGAGGTGCAGAGGCAAAACCCATGAATAAGTGGACTCGTGCAGTTCATATCTGTGCTATTGAAGGGTCAGCTGTGCTTTATAAAGAAATAATGTTGACTTAAAAATCATAGCCAGGAAGTTAGATCACTGTAAAGCAGAGGCTGATCAACTTCTGTAGAAGGTCAGAGAGTCAGTCTTTTAGGGCTTGTGGGCCATGTGGTCTCTGTGGCTCCAGCTTCACACTGCTGTTGCAGAACACAAGTGGCCACAGGCAAGACTTGTGTGAATGGACGCACCTGGCCATCCATGTCCAGTGAACTTTGTTTATGGACCCTGAGATTTGAGTTTCATATGGCATGGTGTATTACTCTCCTTTTGCCTTACATATTTTAAAAGTAAAAACCATTCTTAGTTTGCAAGACTTAGAAAATCGGGTGGTGGGCTGGGCCCTGGTTTAGCCTGCAGGCCAGAGTTGCTGACTTGGGATTGGAATGACGAGTTGTTTTCATCTTACTTCACTGTCGGTGTCCAGGACATGGCGGCTGACTGTAAGAATGTCAGCTTGTGGTGTAGAAAACTTCACATAACTGAGAGTGCTTAGAATATATCTTTTTAAAAGGTAGGAATCCAGTCTGCTTTGTCACTGATAATGGTCTTATAACAGATTAGCCAAATTATTAAACTCCTGATGTACATCTTCATTTTAGATACCATGAGGCTCTACCACTTTTTCTGCGGTGTTTCACTGTTGGGTGGATTTATACAAGGATTTTGTCACGGACTGTTGAAATACTGCAGCGACTTCACATGTATGAGGTTAGAGCACAAGTCCCCACCTGCCTTTCACTGATGTAACAGCAATAAACACATGAAGGAAAACTTGCCAGGCTCTCAACACTTCCCATATGCTTGGTCAGTACAGTCATATAAGGAAGCATAGTTAATGTCGGCATCTGCTTCTCTTGGGTCAGTACAGAGAAGACAGCTGAAGACAGCAACTGTTTTCTTTTGCGTGAGTGCCAGGAGGTTGTGGACAGCCCTACAGGGAGCCCTACAGGTCTCTGTAGCTTGAGCTGGGTCTTTTTCAGAACTCAGTGTGAGACTTGGGAGGTCCCCAAAAATCTCTGAAGTGGGAGTCTCGTGTTTCCTTATGCTTCCTGTCAGCTGTCTCTGATTGTGTGGAGATAATTTATAATCCCAGACAGAAATTTGGTGATATCTTTATATAAACCATTGTGAAATTGCTGGAGTTTACTTTAGTTGGAAAAATGGTGTCTTACAAGGAGAATATGCTAGGCTAAGTCCATGAGCCAGGGGCTGTGAAACCCAGGGGGTTCATGGATGGGCTTTGGGGATATCTGTGAAACCCCAAATTGCATGTGTACAGGAGTTTATGCATTTTTCTGGAGTAAATTACATTTTAAAGAGATCCATGAACCACTAAAGATTACCACACAGAATGACTGAACAGTCTGTCCATAAATCTTGACTAGAGGTCTCCCAGGTGAGATGGGTGTTTGGATGAGGACACCCTCATTACTGTCCTGCCTACCCCAAATCCCTCTTGTAGTTGGTCCCATGACCTGCTGTGTTCCCAGAAGCACGAGGGTTTGCCAGCCCTGATCGGGGCTCAGCTGCCTGGAGCTTGACCCTGTGTGACACTGTGCTGGGTGACATGGTTTGCAGAGAACACTGCAGAACTTCAGACCCTGTAAGCTCAGTGCCAGTAGGCAGGACACCTGGGTGAAAAGTAGGGAGGCCTCAGGGAACTCACACCCCCTCCACAAGGCTCTTAAATGTCCCCAGCCTATCAGGTTGTTGTCCTTGGCCTTATTTTAGAATGGAAAGATATGCGTTATACAGATACTTTACCAATCCTATGGGCTTCTAAATGTAATTACAGCAGCTGATTTCTTTGAATCTAATGATGGTTCTTTGTTACTGTTGCCATAGGAAGCTGTTGAGGAGCTTGAAAACCTTCTGTCTCAGAGAATTTACTGTCCTGACAGCAGAGGCCGATGGTGGGATCGACTGGCCCTTAACTTACACCAGCACCTGAAGCGCCTGGAGCCGGTACTCAGTGATGAGACACACCTGATACCCATTTCATTTTTGAGTGAATTTTAAAATATAGCTAACTGCTAAATACCTTAGAAACCCAAATGTAATTAGAACACAGATTTCTTTTGTTAACCTTCTTTTGTCTGTGTTCGCCCAACTCCAAAGGAATACTGGGGATGCTAACACAGCAGGCAGGTGGAGGCAGAAGGCTTCTGTCTTCTTTTCTCGATGTGGGTGCTGGGTAGGTCTTGGACCCAATGCCGGGGTTTAGGAATCAGGATCTAGGAGTTCAGGGAGAGGGAGAGTCAGGCATTTCAGTTCTCAGCAGGTGCCTTTAAGGAAAGTGTTTTTCTGTTCTGGAAATGGGGACGTTATCCATTTGTTGCATAGGGTGTCCAGGTAGACAGATGAGAAAACTTTCCTTTTCCTGCCTTCTGTAGATACTTAGCTCTTTGTACTTCTGTGAGGTCTCTTGTGGTCTGACTAACCTTGTGCCAGCCAGCTTCTCTTGAGTACGGTTCTCCCTGTGCTGGGCACCTTGGAGACTTGGAAGTGGAGGGATTCCATGGATTCACTTAATGTGCCACTGGAAAAAAACAAAAGGTCATAGAGACTGCAGGGTCCCCCCAACCCCTGGCTCCATCCAGCCTTGCATTCCATTCAAACGCAGGGGCCTGTGCTCTGTGAGTTTTTGTTTTTTCCCATGGCACGGTAAGTGAATCAGGGTGATGTGGGGTGGAAAAAATGGACCATGGACTGTGGAAATATGACATCTTGTTTTTACTGCCTTAAACTGAAAAAGTGCCTTGTTGCCTACAGTACCAGGAAAAGCCAGGGAGAGCTGTTTTCTCTTGTGGAGGTGGGTGTGGTGCCTCCTCACCTCTTAGTGTTTACTGAGTCTGAAATAGCTGGAGAAGGCATCTGTTAGCCCAGAACCAAATGTGGAATGGAGAAGGTCTGTGTTCATGTTGCCTCTTTCTTTCAGTGAAATGAAGGTTCAGCAGATTTTACAGTTTTCCCCTTTGTTCCCAGTTCTGCTGTATACTCACTTGTGTTCACAGGGAAGACAAGCCACTGGGCCTACTTTTTAGATTGATGCTAAGAAAATCCCAGCTCCTTTTATCCTTTTCCTGGAGAGCGTTCTGCCGTGCTCCTGACTCTCATTATTTTGGTAGTGTCCTTCATGTGCTTCCTCTGCTGTAGGGAAGGGGTCTGCTAGGCGAGGGCTTGTCCTGCAAGGTGCCCATGGCCCACCCAGGCCAGCCAGGGCAGGGGTAGCACTGGCCTGCCCCCTCCCCTGTGGCACGTCTTCTGCCAGTTCACAGAACGTCAGCATCTCAGTCTCCTGTCTTCATTCCTTTTGGCCACGCAACTCCTGATGGCCTTTCAGTTTTGTGGTTTTCTTGGTTTTTTATTTTCTATTATAGAAAAAAGTATATATATCATACATAAAATTTGCCATTCTAACAGTTTTTCGGTGTACAATTCAGTGGCATTTATTGTACCCACAGTATTGAGCAGCTACCACCCTGTTGATGCCTCTAACAGAAGTTCTATAACCCTTAAGCAACTGTCCTCATTCTCCCCCCAGCCCCTGGAGTGCTCTGAGCTGCCGTCTCTGAATATGCCTATTTTGGATACTTCATATAAGTGGAGTCCTACACTTATTCTTGTGTCTGGCTTATTTAATTTAGCATAGTATTTCCAAACTTCCTCCATATTGAAGCTTGCATCAGAACTTAAGTCACTTTTAAGGCTGAGTAATATTTCATGGTGATTCAGACCACACTTTGTTTGTCCATTCATTTGTAGATGAACACTTAGGTTGCTTTCCCCCTTTAGTCATTTTGAGTAGTGCTGCTCTGAACATCGGTTTGCAGTCGTGTTTTAGTTCTTTTGGGATATACTTAGGAGTGGAATTGCTGGATCACGTGGTGATTCTCTGTTTAGCTTTTTAAGGAATCACTAAACTGTTCTTTACAGTGTTTGCACCATTTTTTTGTTCCCACCAGCAATGTACAAGGGTTCCCATTTCTCCACATTCTTGCCAACACTTGTTATTTTCCATTTTTCTGATTATGACCATCCTAGTGGGTGTGAAGTGGTAACTCCTTTTGCTTTTCTGCATTTCTGTTTATTTGTTTGACTCTGAAATACAGCCTCAGGGAACACATGTAACTCCTCCAAAACCTTAGGTTTCCTTCCCTATAAACCAGGACTCTGGAGCAGCCCTGTGGTTCCTGCCTGCATGTGACTTGTTTGGGAGCTTGGATGTGGCCTCACACCTGGGCTCCTACTCTGGAGACTCTCTTTCTATGGATTGGTTGGGGCACGTTTTCTTTCAGAGCTGCCCAGGTGATGTCTTGAAAACCACTAAGCCACATTTTCCTCTAGAGTCTCCTCTGGCCCGTGACATGGAGCGTCCCCATGTCTGTGAGGGGCAGTCACTGTGATCCGCTGTCCATGGAGAGGAAAGCCCAGCTGTGCTCCAGCTTGATCTCAGTGCAGTTGCTCTGCAGGGACAACATCAGAATCAGATCTGAGGAGACAGCATGTATCTCTGGGTGCTGTCCGCTCATTGGCTCATTATTCAAGTTGAATAATTAACCGTGGGTTTTCCTGTCACAGTAAGTGAATGGAAGCTGCCATGGGGTCTTTTAGGCTGCTGACATGTGCCTTGTTCTTGCTAGGCTATTAAGTGCATCACAGAAGGGCTGGCAGATCCAGAGGTGAGAACAGGACACCGCCTCGCACTGTATCAGAGAGCCGCACGCCTGCGAGAATCTCCGGGCTGCAGGAAATACCGGCACCTCTTTCAGCAGCTCCCAGAGATAACCGTGGACGATGTGAAGCATGTGAGCAGACACCCTTTGGGCGCTGTGGACTTAAGCACGTTTCCCTGCTTATTCTGAGGGAAGCAGCCTAAGAACAGTTTTTAGGGTGTGTCTTCTTTCACCCAGTACAACCTCGTGCTTGTTTGGTTGGTGACGCAGCCTTGCTCCTGTTGGCACTGTTCCTCCTCCCGGATGTGACGGGCTGGCTGGGTTGACAGACACACTGGGTTGGGGGACGACTCCTGAGTGGGAACGTAGCCTACGTCTGCCAGTTCTGCCAGCTCGTCAGGGGCCTGGAGAGCAGGTCCAGTGCCTGCGGCTTTCCTGAGGCCGGAACCATGGCTGTTGCACTTCTGCAGGCAAACAAGTGTGGATCGCTCACCGTCACTCTGCTAAGTGCATGGCTTTGCAGGACAAGGAAGGTGACCTCAGGATGCGACAGGTCGGCTTTCCAGGACTTCACTGGAGCGAAGTTAATGGATGTTCTTCTGCTGCCCTCTCAGGTGACCATCACGGGCAGGCTGTGCCCGCAGCGTGGGATGGGCAAGTCTGTGTTTGTGATGGAGGCTGGGGAGGCCACTGCCCCCACCATGGTCCTGTGCTCCGTGGAGGAGCTGGCACTGGCTTACTACAGACGCAGTGGCTTTGACCAGGGTAAGTGAGTGGACTTCTCCCACCCACTAGTCCCCATGCGAGTGACCAGCCCCACCCGATGGGCTGTCTGGAGGGGGCTACCATTGTCTCTCTGTCCTCTGCCCACAGTAGAAGACACTGCTGGCTGGAGATGTCGGTCACGAAAGGCGGGTCTTCTTCCCATCACTTCCTCATCAAAATCAGGCATAAGCAGGCCCTGTTGTCCTGGAGACACTGCAGGGCCTTGCTCTGATCTTTTTTCTTTTAAAAAAAGCTCTTTGTTATGGAAAACACTGCACATGCCTTTTATAGAAGTGGGGAGGACAGTGTGCTGAACCCTTGAGCCTACGCAGTTCATTTGGTCTTCCTTCCATCCTCCCACCCCTGCACCCCAGATCTTGGAAGCAGACCCAAGGCATCATCTGAGGGCACTTGCTGGCTGCTCCCAGTAGTGATACTGGTCACTCCTGGGGGACGCCTTGTGTTTGGGTAGAACAGTGCCTGTGCTGGCTGTACGGTCACTAGTGTTAAAAATACTCTAATAACTTCAAATGTGAAAATCAGGACTTTACTTCAGTGTCACCTGAGTGTTCAGAAGAGTAATGAACCCTTGAGAGACAAGCGCAGGATAGAATTTTGCAAAGATGGGTCTTTCAGGTGAACATTAAGGTTCATCCGCATAATATCTTTATTACTTACAGGAAAGGGTGATGCTATTGGGAAGACATGCAGATGCCAGTGAAGACAGAGATACAGTAGACATGAACAGGTTAGAAATGAAAGAGCAGGGTGAGCAGCCAAGGCCCAGATGTGTTGCATGAGACATGGAGACTGGCAGTGGCTGGGGGAGGGAGCAGGCTGCTCCCCGAGCTCTCTGAAACACTCCCAGTGGGGCCATGAGCCTGAAAACAAGCTGACAGTTCCTTTCCAAAATAGAAAATATTTTCATTTATTGAAATTGATGCAGTGAAATTGAGCTGAGCCCTTGCTGCCAGGCTTTCTTCTAGAGTGGGGCAGAACAGAGAGCTCAGCATAGCCTCAGGAACACAGGACAGAGGGGACCTGGCCACATGCCACTCCTGATGGAGGTTCTGCTCTCTGTCCCGAGTGTACCCACATGTGGGCACCCGGCGAGCAGAAGCCCTGTGTGCCGGGCTCCCCAAGCAGTGGGCCGTGGCTGCCCAGTCTTTGTACTCCCCCCTGTTTTCACTGTGGCCTCCTGAGTATGAGCCAGGGCCCATAAGTGTCAGGGTGGGACCAACCAGAGGTACTTCCTGCCAGCATGGGCATGTCAGGGAGGGGTCTAGTGGTCAGCACCTCTTCTGGCCAAGGCGGTCTTGTGAAGAGCGGTGTCCATGCAACCATCTCCCCTGTTGGGCGTGCTGACATGTAATGAGCACTGGCTGGGAGGAGGCTGGGTGAGGTGGGGCTCTCTTGGGGATGCAGGTCTGTGTGCTATGCCAAGTCCAATCCTACCCGTGCCATGCCCTGCTTCTGACTCTCTGTGACCTCAGCACCTGATTTCTCTCTCTGTGGTCATTTCCCAGTCAGTAAAATGTGTGAATGATGTACAGCGGGGGAGCCTGATCTAGTTGGCCCTTGAGACAGAAGGGTCTGGAAAAGTCTCGAATGTTGTAAACACAGATCCAGGGCAGCAGAAGACTTGAGAGAGAAGGAGAGGAGGACAGCACTGCTAAGGCCAAGGACACACGGGCACAGCTGCCATCCTCCTCCAGGGACCCCTTGTCCTCCGGGCAGCTCAGGGACCTCCTGTGCCAGAGCCCACTTAGCCCTGCAAAATCAAGGCCTCTGGAATCCGGGAAGAAAATGTGCCTTTTTCTTTTTTGAAAAAAATGTGTTTCTTAGGTTATTTGCTAACATTTGAGAACCATTGCTTTGTAGCTTTGAAATGTTCATTTGAACTTTTCTGTGATTTTTTATGATTTTTGCCCCTAAACAGAGTTTCTGTATGTTAAAAATATAGTTAAAAATGAGCTAGGAATGACATAAAAACAGCATTTGCTTCTGAATCTGATGTTTCTGTTGTTTCCTTGAAATGGAATATGCATTAGGTTACGGTAGTGTTTTTGAAAAAACATATAAAACTGATGTTCCCTCTGGGCATGTGACTTTGTCTTAGGGATTCATGGGGAGGGGTCTACCTTCAGCACCCTGTGTGGCCTCCTCCTATGGGATGAAATCTTCATGGATGGGATTCCCGATGTCTTCAGAAACACCTACCAGGTAATTTAGTAAGAGACTCCTCACCAGTCTGTGATCATGCTCACTTTGCATTGAGTGTCTGCAGCCACGAGAAACCATTCATTGGATCATCCACACATCATGGTGCTGATTCCAATGAAAGGTGACTTTTATTTTTCAAATCCCATGAACAGGGCTGGGTATGGTGGCTTGTGCCTGTAATCCCAGCACTTAGGGAGGCAGAGGCAAGAAGATTGCTTAGCCAGACCTCATTTCTACAAAAATTCAGAAAAATTAGCCGGGTGTGGTGATGCACACCTGTAGACCCAGCTACTCAGGAGGCTGAGGTAGAAGGATCCTCTGAACCCTGGAGACTGAGGCTGTGGTGAGCTGTGATCATGCTGCTGCATTTCAGCCTGGGTGACATCAGACCCTGACTCAAAAAAAAAAAAAATCTGATGACTGGAATTTAAGATGTAAGTATATTCAGTTTTAAGGTTTAAGTCTAATTTACCCTTAACCTTACATTTTAAACTGTTAGTCTAAAGCACCTTCAGCTTCAGCCCTTTTTGAGCATCTACTGTGGCCCAGGCACTGTCACACATACTGTCACCCCTGCCTGCTAAGTGGTCTCCCATCTAAGCTAAAAGCTCTTTTTGCAAATTATTACTCTGAAAACTCAGTGTGGTAGATTGCTTTTATAACAGACTACAGATAGCAGATAATTAATATATCTTTGAGATTAAGAATGTGTCACTTGGTGTGGAGGCTCATGCCTGTAATCCCAGCACTTTGGGAGGACAAGGCAGGCAGGTCGCTTGAGGCCAAGGGTTTGAGACCAACCTGGACAACAGAGTGAGGCCTGGCACATGCCTGTAGTCCCAGCTACTTGGGAGGCTGAGGCAGGATAATCACCTGAGCCCAGGAGGTCGAGGCTGTGGTGATCCATGGTAGTGCCACTGTACTCGGGCCTGGGCAACAGAGTGAAACCCCTACTCAAAAAAAGAATGTGCCAACAGTTTCCTAATGTTATCAGTCCTGACAAGTCCTTCGATGAACGAGGCTGTCCCCAGCTCAGGGTGAGAGCTTGTCTTCCTCCCATACAGGCATTCCCTCTGGACCTGTGCACTGACAGCTTCTTCATGAACAGGCAGTCGGCCCTTGAGGCCAGGCTGCAGCTGATTCACGGAGCCCCTGTGGAGAACCTTCGAGCCTGGGTGGCAGCCACGTGGCAGGCCCAGGAGGGCAGAGTGGCTTCCCTCGTCAGCTGGGATCGCTTCGCTTCTCTTCAGCAAGCTCAGGTAGCTGTTCACCTGCACTGCAGGCTTGCGTCAGGAAGTAGTGCCTCCCCTGTGCTGGGTGTCTTTTTGGCAACTGCATTAAAACATACACACAGACACACACATGCAGAGATGTTTGTTCTGTATATATAGACATATATATATAGATATATATGGTATATATATTTTTAATATATATGCTTGCATGTGTTTATACGTATGTGTGTGTATACGTGTGTGTATATATATAGAGATATGTTTGCATGTGTATACATTTATGTGTATGTGTATGTATATATATTTATATATAGACAGGTTTGCATGTGTGTATATGTCTATATATAGATGTGTTTGTGTGTGTGTATATGTATATATATATATATATATACGTGTGTATATATATTTATATATAGATATGTTTGCATGTGTATTTTTTATATTTAGATATGTTTGCATGCATGTATATTTATATATGTGTATGCAGGTACATATTTATATAAAGAGATATTTGCCATATGTGTGTGTGTATTTATAAATATAAGGTGGGACCCCAAAAAATCCAGAATTTATTTATTAAAAAATTTTGTATTTATTCTTACACATTTAAACTTCAGTCACCTTCAAAGTACACTCCGTTTGATGCAATACACCTTTTGAGATGCTTTTTCCACTGCTCAAAACAGTTTTGATGCCTTTTAATGCTTCTGCTGTTTTTTGTTTCACGTCTTCCACATTGGCAAAATGTTTCCCTTTGAGGACTTTTTTTCATCTGGGGAAACAAGAAAAAAAGTTGTTTGGGGGGAGATCAGGTGAATAGGAAGAGTGGGGCATGGGATTCATGCTGGTTTTTTTTGCCAAAAACTGCTGAACATTCAGCGCAGTGTGGGCAGGTGTGCTCATAAATCGCCCATTGTAAAATGGACAAACATGTTGAAAGACTCTCCCAGAAAAATTCGCTGAAACTAAATGCAGCCTCTCACACAATGCTAGCTGGTACCTAACGGGGGAAGCCTATACAACAAGGGGCCCACCCTCCCAAATGTAACTCCAGTTTTTTGGGGGTCCCCATCCTACATATATTATAATACCCTGCCTCCCCAGCCTGTTAGGATATAAATATGTTAGGGCATTTAAAAAGCCTGAGTTAAGTCTTTTCCACCTGAGTTGACAGCTTCCTTTTGCTTGACCAGTGGCTGTGGCAGGGAGGGCACCTTCTCTGTCCCTACAGCTCCACAACTGCCAACCTCTGCAAGTCCGCGCTGTCACATTCCTGAGTGCTCATCCACATCCCCCTTCCTCAGCTGCTCCCAGCATGTCCATACAGGCAGAAGTCTGATAAATGCCCGAGGGAGGACTGTCTTCCCAGAGCTTGCTGGTGGGAATTGTAGTCCCTGGCTCTGGAGCTGTGTGTAAGCCGCAATCCGTATGTGGTGCCACTGGAATCATTTTATGTTGAATCACACACCAGCTGGGTCTGTCTGAGGACCCCTGCAGCCTCCTTCAGGGTCTTTGCCGCAAGGGAGCCGGCTAACTCTCCACATGTTTTGTGCTCAGGACCTCGTCTCCTGCCTGGGGGGCCCTGTCCTCAGTGGGGTGTGCCGGCGCCTGGCTGCTGACTTTCGCCACTGCCGTGGGGGCCTCCCGGACCTGGTGGTGTGGAGCTCCCAGAGCCGTCGCTATAAGGTCAGTTGAACCATGGAAAGTCGTATTTGTAATCTTATTGGCAACTGAATCAGAGGCCAGGACCAGACATTTCCTGAGTGGCTGTTGGCAAAACTGAATTCCTTGAGAGCATCTGGGCTGAGGGCCTGGGTTCCCGTGGGCGTCTCCACTGGCAGCGGACTTCATCCACACAGGTGAGAGGACGCAAGATGGAGTCACTGTCTCTTAAGATTCGATGTGACATTCTGTCCCTTTTGCTGTATTTGTTGCTATAAACAAGTCACTCATCCAGCAAACACTCAAAGGAAGGGTCATACAGGGTGTGGACACCAGGAGCTCTTGGAGAGTGGACGCCTCCTTCAGCATCGTCTGCTGGGCCCAGCCTCACTGCCCATCACTGGTCTGTTTTCTTCTTGTTGAGTTTTGAGATTTGAAAAAAATACACACACACACACACACACTCTCTCTCTCTCTCTCTCTCTCTCGATACAAGTCCTTTATCAGTTCTATTTCATCACAGACTTTTTTTTTATAGAAACTGGAATGAGTTGTAAGTGCCACATAAGGGAACTTTGAATAATGTAAAAAAGAACAGCAGCTACTGATCCAGACTTGTAGCTTTTACAAAAAAAGATGAGGTGATAAATGAGCTGGCATAATCATAGTTCTGCACAATCACTTTGGAAGCAATCTCAAAGCTAACTAGCAAAGTTAATGAAAA